GGCAGTGCCCAGGCAGAACTGATGTGTGCTACATTGCTGTCAGCCGCTTGCAGGCCTCCTACCTCACACAGAGTGAGGTGCCATTCACTCTGGGTCAAGAAAGGATTGAGAATAACAGACAAGCTGTTAATAATTATTCTGGGATGACAGATACCAACCTGAGCAGTTCTAGGTAGTGGGACAACCACCCTAATCCTAGGTCATTCTTCTGTATCTTACAGTGGCTTTAGAAAAGATATTCCAACACCTTCTTTAATGAGTTTGCTCCTTTTCTTCCTTAGTCATATCTGAGACTTGTCATTTAACTGTTTGCTTTGACCATAAAGTTGCTGTAGCAAAGTGTATAGTAATAATAATAATTTTTTTAAAAAACAACCTAAACTTCCAGTGGCCATTATTTGATCCTTAAGAATTCTAGGCTTTTCTATCTCTCACTTTCAAGTTTTAAATTTTTTCCTCCATGGGAGAGACAGAATAAGGAGTATATGGCTATTGTTTTTAAAATGCAATTTATCCTTATGACTTGCCTCAGTGGTTAGTAGATGAGGTCTCCACCAGTATCCTCCTGAGAAGACATTTCACAAACTGTATGAAATTCCCCCCTCTGCTTAGGTGCCTTCATACTTTCTTGGAAAGTTAAGTATAAAAGGTAGTGTTTATTTTCCTTATGTCCGCATGTTTATTATGCCATCTGTGACTTTAGGAACACCCTTGTAAGGGTAAGTCTCTGGGAAGCACAGAAAGCTTTGTAAATAGGTAAGGCCCTGCTGAGAGGACCTGGAGTGCTCAGATGGAAGGCAGGGATGATGTTGGGAATGAAGAGATCCATAGAGCAGGACATCCTAGGACAACTCATTTTTACTTAGCCAGGAGTTGAGCAGCTTATTACCCTCTTTGCTAGTGATCAAATAGAAATGGAGTAATTCAGATTCTTTGAATATCTTGACTTTTAAGGATATCTCTGTTTGACATAAAATGAACATGCCCTTAGTAAGAAATTCATCTGGGCTCTTCCAACAGATTTTTACTTCTTTGAAGGTACAGATTGTATTAGGTACCTTTTTTTTTTTTAGGGTTCTAGTGATGTCTGTTGTACAAACCACAAGCTCCCCCATGCAGTGACTTGTCAGTGTATGGACACAGTTGTGCAACCATTGCCATGCTCTAATTTTAGAATACTGTCACTTCTTCCAAAAGACACTTCATGCTGCCATCACTTCTCCTTCTACCATCACTTATGTCTAATACAATATCTAGATGCATGTAGAGTAGTTTGGCTGCCTTATGTGTTGATATTGAGCAGATTTCTGAGTACTAAGTACTGAGTACGTGTTAGCCCTGGCTCAGTTGATCCAAAAGCAGTGGAAGTACCAGCATTGCCTGCTGCCAGCTGTGTTGACTGAATGAGGGGAGGGGAAGCTGCTTGGAGCAAGGCAAACCTCCTTCATAACTTCTTAGTAGCAGCCCACTTGTTCCCCTAGATACCTAAGGGTTGCTGAGTCCTAGATTTTGGGAGTTCAAAAGGGAAAAGAAAATACAGTTATCCTTTGGTTTCCATGGAAAGATTGGCTCCATGACCCACGCGCACCCTGTGGATACCAGAATCCAAACATACTCAAATCCTTTACAAAAATGACATAGTATTTGTATATCTCCTACAGTATCCCCTCAAATATTTTAAACCATCTCTTGATGATTGATAATATCCAGTACAAGGTTAAATACTCTATTAATAGTTGTTCTGTTATAATATACCTAGTGTAGGGACTGTTGACAAGGAAAAAAAATATCTGTCCATGTTCAGTACAACTATATTTTGCTCCCAAATAGTTTTAGTCAGTGATCAGTTGAATCTCAGAATGTAGAGCCCAAGCACAGGAAAGGCCAGCTGTGCGTTCAGTGGGAAAGGTCTGGAGAAAGTAAAGGTTGCCTTTTCAGATTTGTATTTGTGAATTCCTGTTTCCATTGGTTCTCTGGACAAGTGGCCTCTTGCCAGCTGCTTTTCATTTATCCTTCAGGATGCCGGATTCTCCTTCTAAAGCATTTTGGCCAGCCTCCTCCCCCAGTTGAACTTTAGACTCATAAATGGTTCTAACCTAACTGCACTAACAATTTTGTCCTAAAACACAAAATTCAACAGGTTCCCATAAGAAAATACTTCACTTGGGGCATGTAGGCATGATCGCCCCACTTCTTTCCTATGCTTTCTTGCACAGACAGGAAGTGGGGATGCGTCATCTTTTTTCCTGATGATTGGCTGTTGTCTAGTGCTAGTGCCCTGTCTTTGTGCTCCATCATCTGGGGAGAAGTGGGAGTCTGTGGAGGGTGAGGAAGGAAGTTCATTCCGATGTTGGCAGGCTGTGGTTGTGAAATTAGCAAAACTGGGCTGGTTTGAAAATTGTTGGGCTAAGCTTTCTCCTTTTCCAGGAAGTACTAATAATGATAGAGGGCAAGGCTGAGATACATATTTCAAAACTCCTTTTCAAGAACTTGGATTTATTGGTTATCTATGCTAGTATCCTTATTCAAGCAAGAATCCCACTAAATTCTAAGTAATTGCTATTGTAAGTATTCCAAAAAAATGTTAGTCATTTTACATAAGAATTTTTGCAGTCACTTTGTTATGGCATGAGAATATTTAAGACCAACTGGAATAGCCTTTTAGAAAATGCATGAAGACTCAGTGGGCTTTGTTTTACCAAATAAATAGGTGAAGCATGTCTAATTCAACTCAAATTTGTTAGCCTGGGCTTGATAAGATGCTTTAAAAGCAGTGGAGTGAGATGAATTTGGCTTTATCACAATGGAGAACTTTTGCACAGACCACAGAATTTTAAAACATGGAAGATGGGATGATGAACTGGTATTTCAGAAGAAAAGGCTAAGCGTGGAGGGTTCCTTTGGGGTCGATCATCTTGATTTGCATTCGTTTCCTCTGTTGCAAAGGGTAGCAAAGCTCAATGCCTGGCTGTTTTTCCAGGCTAGAAGGAAGTGTGTTTTGTTGATCTTTTAGTCTCCCATCAGCAGCATTGATCCTGGAATTTTTCCCCTCTCTGCTTAGGTATCTTCATACTTTCTTGGAAAATTAAGTGGAAAAGATAGTGCTTCTTTCCCTTATACCATCATTTTTACTGTACCAATCTGTGACTATAGGAGCACCAGTGTTTAAGGGTAAGTCTCTGGGAAGCACAGAGAGTTTCTTAAACAGATGAAGCCCTCTTGAGGAGCTGGAATGTGCAGGAGGGACCTCGAGGGAGTGGGAGCTAGGGATGAAGGGAGTCTGTAAAGCAGGATGTCCTAGGACAACTAAGCGTTTGCTTGTGCAGAATCCACCTGCATTTGGGAATTAGGAGAAGGAAGCTGCTTGTGTCTTTTATTTAGTTTACTATAAAATTATGTAACCAGTAATCTTATATTCTCATTGGGAAAAACAAAGTATACTTCAGTATTATAGAGGGCTATCACACAGCATATAGCTTTTTAATAGCAATATTTGCTTTTATTTTTTCCAGGTAGTTTGACTTATAGTAAATTCTTGCTATATATTGATGCCCTCACTCTGAACATCTGTCATGTAAGATAAGAAAGCACTTGTCAGCTTGTCTCATTTATGCAGACAGCTGCAGATCAAGTAGATAGAATGATTACTTACAGAGAGTAAATGTCCAGTATGTTTATCTGCTGCCATTTTTAATAGGGATAGATGTAGTGAACAATATGGGTAGTATATAAAGGTAAAACTAAATTTCTCTGTAAATGTAGATACTGGGCTGTGGTAAAATCTACATACTCATTTATTCATAGCTTATTAATTGAGGCACCTGTCCAAGACAGATAAACATGTATGCTAGAGATTAGAATATTGGCTGACCTTCTCCTTAACTACTGCACAGGGGTCAAGGTCAAATTTCCAAACATCTGTTTATGAACAGATCTGTTTACCGGTAAGCCTCAATCTGCCAACTCTGTCTATGGAATAAGGAAGTGAGCTGTACCCTTCCTTTCTTATCATCACAAATGCCTACAGTTTCTGACTCAGTGGATCTTACTAGCAACCATGTAAGTTGCAGAAGGAAGAACTTGCCGTGTCCTGCACAGAGTCACTTTCTGAGTGCCCAGTTGGACCTGCCCTGTGGCTCCTGGCTTCAGTTCTGTTTTCACGGTGCCAGATGCTCTCACGTGCAGAGGTACTTTAAAATATAATGGATTTGCAGATCCGTAGTACAGTAAGTCCAACAGATCAGTAGCCAATGGCCACTGCAAACTTAGTTTGTTACAGTTCCCAAGAGACAGGGGCAGTCTACACAGGCAATTACCCTTGTAGAGAGCAGGTTGGTTATAAGAAAGGACAAAGGGTAGAACTATGGGCAGGAACCTTGATTATGATTTCCATGGGAAGCAAGGCAGGTAAGATGCTTGGCATCGGCTGGTTTGAGTAATTTTGGCATGCTCTGGGGTTGGAGGCTCACTAGGAGTCTGGCACGTGGGGCTCTGGGGTGATCAGACCAGGTGCACCGTGTCCTAGAGTGTGAAAGCTGGTAGAGAAGGTAGGTGGGGTCTGGGTTGTGGACTGCTTGGTTGGTATGTGGAAGGTTGACAGCAGTGAGTTGTTTGCCATGTCTAGAAACTGGCTTACCCTGGGAGTGCCAGTCCCTCAGGGTCAGCAAGGCCCCAGATACCAAAGGCATCAAACACAGAAAATGAACACAGATGTAATACATCCTATGGTGGCTTTTTCAATGTCTTCAGCACACTGCCAGAGGGTCAGCTTCTCTTCACTAGGAGAATGTGTGTCTGAACCCCAGGCTGAGCCCTTCCTTTAGCTCCACACCTCCATTTCCAGTGTCCTGCCTGGCAGCACCCCAGTATGTCCTATAGGTTTCACAGTGCAGAACTGATTTTTTTTTTTTGCCTTGCTCCCCCAAAGCTATTCATCCATCTGTTCCTGTCTCAGTTAATGGCAGTGTTGCACCCATTTGCTTAAGCTAGAAATCTGTCAGCTACTAGATGTGGTGGTACATACCTGTAATCCCAGCACTTGAGAACTGAGCCTGGAGGATTGCCATGAGTTTGAAGCCAGCTTAGGTTTACATAGTAAATTCAAGACCAGCCTGAAATGCAGAGTGAGACCCTTTCTCAAAAATCAAACAAACAACTCTGTCAGCCTCAATGCCTTCTGTCTTCTTCTCCTCTTCACTGGACACAGTGTATCAGTGTCCTATCTTAGTGGCGTGCCTTAACATGAATGTATTTGGCCATGTAACTTTCTCTTCTGCTTTCCATGAGCCCTCAGCCTCTACTGGTCCTGCACACCAGTGTTATCTTTTACTGTCTCCACATCTATCCCTGTATAAAAGCCTTGGCTGGTTTCCTGGTGATTACAGGCTCAAGTTCAAAATCCTTGGCACTGGTGATTCTCAGTCCTTAGCTGGCTGCCACCTTTCTTCCGACCCTATAAAATCCCATTTCCCCTAAGGCCAGGGTCACATGTCGCTGTCTCTGGGAAGCATCCCAACCTTCCTCATTCTGATCAGTTATTTTTCCATGATCATCTCTTTGATGCTTTTGAGTCCACTCCCACTACAGCAATGATCACATTGCATCTTAGCTACTCTTCACGTGTTTCTTTTTTTTTTTTATCACTTCTTATTCATCATTCATTAAGTCTTTATTGTTTGCCTTACAGCAGGTATTTGCTAGCCACCAAGCATGCAGGAATAAGCAAATCAAACCCTGTCCTCAAGAATCTAATTGGATGGGAATCAAAGAAGTAACCAGACAAGCTTGTGATTGTCTGATTGCAATTAAAATAGAATACTGGGCATAGTAAGTACGTAAAGGAAGGGAGCATCAGGAAAAGCTGGGGATTAGCATCACAGGATGAGGATGAGCTTACTGAGAAGGAGCTGAAGGGAGAAACGGAGAAAGTTGGAGATTCAGCAGCTATTTCCCCCTTGTCTGAGCATGAGAAGTGGTAGTGATGAGGGAACGTGCTGAGTCAGATGAGCGGCAGGACAGGCCCTCCCCGTGCCCTTTGCTGCTGTTCTTGTGTTTCTCAGTGGCTCAGGGGAGCAGACAGCCAGACACAACTGTCTGCGTTTCCAAAGGTTCATTAGATTCAGTGAGGGAAATATTTACATAGCTCATCTGCCACATGAGCCTTCCAGACTGCAGTTCAACACCAGGCTGAGACCTGGGTTTCACACAGCCGTACTCTGCACAGCTTAGATATAGCATATTGTTACTGGGATTTGAGACAATTTCCAAACCTTTTCTACTGAGAGTTTACTATATTAATAGGCCTTCAAAAAATTCTTTGGCAGAGTTTCATAGAAATATGAAACTATCCTTGGAGCCCCAGATAGCCTACCTCTGTGTTAATCTGTCAAGTGCCCTCATCAGAGATGTGCTCTGCCCCCACTAGTCGGTACCTTTTCTGTAAGAATTTATTTAACTTCTTGGAACCTTGGTTTCTCTCTTAATAAAATGCAGGAGCTTACCTGATGGGATTGGTAGGAGGTTGAGAACTAAATAATGTTACACAGTGGAGGGCAGAATTCTGGGCATGTAATAACTAAGTAGAAGGTGCTTAGTTTAGTGATGTTGCATTTATTATTAAATTCAAATGACCTCCATCTGGTCCTTCCTTGAGCCGAAAGGATGCCTTAGTTGATGCCTAATCATCAGTGTCGGTGCAATCAAGCAGCACTGAGAGATGGGGTTAGAGAAATCAGATCACAGTGCCTTTTCTTCTGTTCATTGTCCATGTGCGTTATATTAAATGGTGCTGAAATGCTTTTAAAAACATCACATCTCATGGGATTGTAGGAAAGCCAACATAAACGATGGAGATGTTTGATATGTTGTCCTCTAACTCTTTTGAGTTGAATGCCACTTTGCCTAATTAGCGGAGGATGCAGCAGTTTCTTCCTGTATATTTGTCAAATTCTATATTTGAGTTGACAGCCTTGCTTGGAACCCTTCAAGTAAAATCGTGTTTTTAGTCAAGATTGACATCCACTCTCACTTCTGCAGGCTGTTTAGTACGTGTGTCTATGGCGATGAAGCCGTTCTGTGTTTAGTTCCGGGTTGATGGTTAGGACCCCAGCTCTGCTGTGGTGCTACAGCTGAGTGAGTGGTGAAGGCCAGTTGACATCATTCTGGTTTATGGCGCACCTGAGCTTAACCGCACAGACCTGTGTTGATTCACTTACTGTTGAAAACTTACTCCTGCGTTGTGGGAACTCGAGTGACCATTTATGTGTTTATAGGGAGTTCTAGAAGTAGAAATAAAGATCCATGCACTCCCTTTTTTCTTTTTATAGTTGACACTGACAATCTCTGGGTGAAAAAAAGGAACTAAGACGTGTCATGTATATGCACCGACTCCCACCATGAGTGTAATCATTGTGTACTGTATTTGTGTTCTAAAAGATAAAAGGTATATTATCTTAAATGTAAGAAGAGGACTCATTTGGTGATGTACTTCTGTCATATCTGTGCTTTCTTTTCATCTACCCTTCTAGGAAGAATGTTGGTGAAAAGCACAGACACCAGTGACTTTTCTGGCTGTGGGATTTCCGTGAAGAAAGCTGAGCAGTGGGACCCACCATGCCCATCCTCTGTTCGCGGCACACCCTCCGAGTCCCGAGCATGCGCGGTGCAACTGGTGACGATGCACCCGGGGTCCTCTGAGCTGGCCTGGAGGGGCACGGGAAGGATGGGAGAGAACATGGAGCAAACATTTCACAAACTGAACCTCAGAACTAAGATCCTCTAAGGAAAGCGCTACTTGAAGAAGAGTCGAATGGCTTCTCAGGGATTTTGTTTTCTGTGCACATATAAGCCATAGTTACAGTACAGGTGGCAGTATTTAGAGCACTTCGGTTTCAGTTCTGTTCAATGTGAAAGAGGGATCGACCGACGTTCATTGCTGTTCCGTAACTAGTGTAAGATATGTATATGTTTATCTTTATTTTTATAATACGCAAATACCTTTAAATTTATACAGTTTGAAGCTTCTAGCATCATTTAACACTGGGTGCAATATTTTGCATGAGAACTGTGCCAAGATGGGGCTGATTTCTTATTTGAGCATAAGACATTTTCTTTATTCTTTAACAATGCCTTTTCAGTTTAGAAAGAAAAAGTGAAATATCAGCCTGTGGATTGAATGTTGATTCGCAGAGGCAGTGAGCCAGCCAATGCTGAGCAGGATACTTCTACGTGTGCTTCAGCCCCATCTGTCCACTGTCGCCCTGCCTGTAAGTTAGTGGACTGAGGGCAGGATTGCTCCTGTTTTATCCCCACTTATCATTAGTGCAGGGCAGAGACGGAGCACTCTGGGGGCCAAAGAGGACGGAGAGTCCATGAAAAACCCAATCTTTCAGTAACGTAGATCATCAAGAGTCAGTTCTGAATCAAGCTAGGGGCTCTGCAAATACACATCGTGCTTTTCTATAACAGGGTCCAAAGTGAGCAGAGTGCTTCGTGGACCCGCTACATCTGGCTGTGGGATGTTGGCTTAGAAAGGCACCCACTTGGGGAGCCCACCCCGCACTGGCCATTCATACAGAACCTCTTAGTATACAATTTAGCATCAAGAACTGGGAAAACCCTTGTTCTGAAATCTTTAGGAGGTAACCGAAGGAATTGCTTTATAATCTCCTACCTGGGGTTCAACATCATCTGCTGTAGAAGTAGCATACTCCAAAGAATTCAGACTCTGTTTGCATCTGCCTCCGCTGCATGCAGATAGACAGTGTACAACGAAGCGCTTCTCACCGGTGTCAGACAAGAAAAGCAGCTCCCCTGGTATTACTCTTTCACTTCATTTATAAAGTATTGACTCTGGGAATGCCACAAGACACTAAGTCTCCACATATTTCAAAAGAATATAAGTGGCTGCATTTTGAGAAATCTTAGTTGATTTTTATAGCAAACTTTATGCCCCAGGAGTTGACGTCACTGACTCCAGAGCCCCAGTTACATGAGTATGATTTCCTGTGATTTAAAATCAAGTGGGATCAGACTATTTTTCTGGTTTTAGTACTTGAATATAACACCTCAAGTTTGAGATTCATTTTCCTTTCAGAACACAGTCACACAATTCATCTAGTTAATCCTTTTGTCACAGTTCTTGTGTGTGTGTGTGTATGTGTGTGTGTGTGTGTGTGTGTGTGTAGGTGTAAATATAAACTGAATGTTAACATTTAATTGCTTTATGGACCACTGAATTGTTAGGCAATAAGAATTTTTTAAATTGGCATGATAAGATTGCTTACATCAACTGGTTCTGACCAGTCTGGATAAAGGCATTCAGATGGGTGACTTTGGGCTCCCTCCCCAGAAGGCCATGGAATGCTACCCCTTTGGGTGATGTAGCCTGCAGAGTGTTTGCTATTTTCATGAACATCAATGCTCACGTTCTTAGTAGCTGCTGTTTTTTCACGCGTGATATTTTATGTTGTCATCTGAACCCTGGAGAAGCAATGTAAGAGCTAAGCTTGGTACTGAGTGTGTTTTGGCCTGAGAGTTGGCGTGATAGAGGGTCCCATGACCACCATGAGCTCCTGTGAAGCCTGAGAACTTGTTTCAGCATGGGGAGAAGGTGGGACGCAGAGACGCTCTGCCCTGCGTGAGTTTTGCCATCTATATAGGAAATTCCATTTTCTCTTTCAGCACCTAGGAAGACTCAACAATCAGCTGAGGCTCACAAGCAATTCACTAAGCACAAGAGGAATTTTTTTTCCAATCAAGGAGTCTCTTGCCTCTCAAACAAATACCCTCCAAGTTTGTTATGGTTTCTATTCCTGCAGCTTGTGGTATCGAAGCCACTTCCTGGAATTGTAAACGTGCTGCCAGAATAAATGTTTTCCCCCTTCTAAGAAAAAAAGAAAAATGACAGTGCTCATAATGGGTGCTTGTGTAGTGGACTCTTGAGTGAATAGAGAGGAGAGGGACTGATGTGATTCCTGATGGCATGTGTTGTTTTTCGTGCCACAATCTGTGACTTGTAATTGTAGTTTCCCAGTTTGTTGTCGTAACCAGATAGAAATTTTTTAAAAAAGAAAAAAATTCAATAAAAATACAAAGAAATGGCTAAACAATGATAGTCCTAGCGTTTAATTATTTCTGGCTTTGTTTTTATTAGTTCAGTTTTGTCAGTTCAGGAGTGATTATTTTATATCTTTAGTTTTTCAGTTTGAGATGTGGAAGGTGGGGTCCACATGCAGAGTGTTGGCGATTTTCATGAACGTCATTGCACACGTATGTAGTGTCTGCTATTTTATGCTGTCCTCTGAACCTGGAGAAGCAATGTAAGAGCTTCTGTTTGGGGATTAAGTCTTCAATGGGCAGACTCAAGAGTCCCAGTTTTATTTTATTTTATCTTTGTATTTTAGGGAAGGGTCTACAGGGTGTTCAGGGTCTCACTACTAGATTGGACTTCTAGTGATCCACCTGTTTACAGTTTCACAAGAGCTGGGATTACAGGCCCATGCTACCATGCCCAGTCTCCATTGGCATCTCAATGTGCCCTGGGGGCGGGGTCAGCATGGCAGGCCTGGGTATTGAAACCACCACCACCACCACCACCACCCCGTCCCTGCACCTGCTTGCACATGCTTAATCTGCTGAGCTATTTGGCTGGCCCTAAGAGTCCTAGTTTTAAACTCTGCCCTGGTTCACTGGCTGTGTCTCTCGGGGCTGGGGGTTGAGTCCAGGGTCTCAAACATGCTGAGAAAGCATTCTGCCTCTGAGCTGCATCTCCAGCCCAACACAAGCTCTGTCTCTGAATCAGACTTTTTCAGTGAACCACTGTGTTCCTAAATCAGTCTTAGGAATCCATGATAGGTCTAGCAGTTCCCGTTCCTCCTCTGTCTTCTAAGGGCTTTTGGCAGGACTTCCATCACAGCCTTGGAGGTATCGTCCCAGTGCCCTCTAGTAGGGACCTGCTCAGAGATTCTGTTTCTCCTGATTTTCACAAAAGGCCAGATGAGAAGAGGCAGAGGAGAATCTTGAAATTTCTTGTTAGACAGCATCTCAGGGAAAGACAAGCCCTGCCTTGAGCCACTGCGGCTCTGTGAACCAGGAAAGAAGTAGCTTCCTCAGACCAGGCAGGGCGTGTTGTAGGACTTTGGAAAATGTAGTTTGCACCCTGGCTACCCAGAATTCACACATGGCTCCACCAATGGACAGGTTGAAGCACTTGGTGGTCCGAATTTCAGAGAGTAGTGCAGCAGGTGAGCTTCACAAGCACAGCTCCTCACAGCTATGTCCCACTATTCAGCCCAGTGCACTGCTGACCCCTCTGCTGGAGAGAGCGCAGTGTGAGCATAGGTCATCAATGCAGCTCTGGCTTTTCTTTACCAGTGTACTTGGAGGCCTGGAGGTATCCAGCTTGGTGGTGCTACCCTTGCCTGCCATGGGCCAAGGCCCTGGGCTCCATTCCTAACACTGCAAAGAAAAAGGGAGGAGGAAAGGGAGGGATGTTACTTAACCTTTAAGGTGCAGAGCACATAAGGCAGGTGCAGTCACACATAAAGGCCGATGCGGTATTGATGGTGAAAATTACAAGTGCATTGTCTGCCAGGCATGGTGGCGCATGCCTGTTATCCCAGCACTTGGGAGGCTGAGGCAGGAGGATAGGTAGGAGTTCAAGGCCAGCCTGGACTGTGTAGGGAGACCATGTCTCAAAGAGAGAAAAAAAAAAAAAGAAACCAATGCATTACTTATCAGAGATGTTACTCCCTTCCAAGGCTATTTCCTCTTACTCATTGTGGGCTTTTGAAATAGGTTCTAGGTTGACTGACTGAACTTTGGCTGCAGGGTCCCTAACACACGAAGGCTACATCTATTGTGAGTCTCCATGCCCAAAATACCTGTCCCTGTGACTGTGTGTCCCTCAGTGGGACCTGCTAAGATTGCTCTTGCTTGGCCTGGGGAGGGAGTAGGATGGACTGCAAGAGGTTTTTCTTTTTTCTTTTTTGTGGAACCAGTGGTTGAACTCAGGCCCTTGCACGTGCCAAACAAGCGCTTATTCTACTGAGCTATCTCCCCGGCCCAAGGTTTTTCAAAAGCACAATTTAAGAAAGCATACCTGATCACAGAACCTGATTTGAGTATTTGTAAAATCTCTTGAGACAAGAAATACCCCTTTATTTTTATATACTTGCAATACCTTTTAATGACCTGAATGTCATTCTGAACAGTGAGCCTAATCCAGTTCCCCAAACTGCTCTTCAGAAAATTTGGGACTCCCGAGATGCCAGCATGCTCCCCTTTGCTGACATCAAGCAAGTTTGTGAAATGTTATGTTAAATAAAGCCAAGGAGTCTTTTCTGCAGGACTTTTAGGCCCCTTTAGATGCCAACATAAAAGAAGAGTCTCTAAAAGGGCAGTAGCACGCACAGCCTGTCCATGTGGGCCTGGGTGTGAACCAAAGCCTCTTGCAGCTCCAGTGCACAGAGTGACTTCCCTTCCATATTGGTAAGGACTCTGGCTGCAGGATGCCTGTGCATCAGCCCTGACACCTCCATCTCCTTATCTTGTGCCTCTGTTTCCTACTGTGTGAAACAGTGGGAACAGTCTACTTCATACACCTAGTAGGATTATTATTGGGACACCATGGGTAGAGCACTACGACAGTAAGCAGCGACTAAACAGAGCTGCTCTCACTCTGTTTCACAATTCTTTTTTTAACAAAGCAGTATCTGCTCAGAATCTTTAATAGTACCTGGTTACAGTCTTATTTTATTTATTTTTCTTTGATCTTTTTGAGAGAGTGTCTCACTATGCAGTGCAGGCTGACCTTGAACTCAACTCACTTTGTAGTCCAAGTTGGCCTTAAACTTGCAGTGATCTTCCTGCCTCAGCCCCCTGAGTGCTGGGATTACAGGCAAGTGCCACCACACCCAACCACCTACAGTTTTGATAGCTTTTGTTTTATTGTATTTATGAATTATCTATTTGCACTAGTGATAGAATGTTTGCTTTTAAAATGAGTCCACTCTAAGAGGGGTACTATTTATCTTGGTGCTGGGGGTGAGCTTAGGGCTTCTCGTACTAAATATGTGTTCTGCCACTAAGCCACACCCCTGCCCTAGAAAGAGATAGTTTAAAATATATCAGCAAGAAAAATGTTCAGTAAGGGCGGGTACTAGATAACCATGTAAGCTATGGCAGAAATTATGAAACTGGTCTGAATGTGTGGAAGACATAGCAGGAGGAGAATGTTTGCGACCACTGGTCGAGGCACGTCCTCTGGCTCTGATGCAGATCGTGGGGAGACGGGTGATCTGCCCGAGTATGCCTGGAGGATCCCAAGGCTTGGCAACATACTTCTCCCAGTTTCAATTCTTTTTGCCCCCAATACTAGGTTATACAAAAACTATACTATAAAACTATTGCCCTAAATTTAAATTTAAAGTGAATTATGCATCTTTAAATGTTTCAGTACAGAGGTTTACATATATATA